CTATCCGTAGTCCAGTACGGTTGACTACAGAACTTCCGGGTAATCAATTGACCAGACATTTTCTGTGGCTTTTTCCGTGGTTATTCTTGACAGTGTGGGTTTCGTCTACGATGCCGCTCTAGGATGGTCACCGCGAAGTCGAAACGCGCCATGTCTCTCGGTCGAGCCTCGGAGCGCGCTGCGAGAAGACTGGCGCTCTGAGTTCTCCGCGGCGACCTGGAGCCCGGGGACCTGGGGGCCCTGCGGGGACTTACAGGGGGTAGCTCTCATTGGGTGACTTTTTGGGTGGGAACGGCGCTAATGCCCTAGTTAACCAATGAGGTCCTGGCTCTGTGCGGCCCTAGGCAAGGCAAAAAGTGTCTAGAAGTGCTTCCAGACCCGTCGCCCGGCCCTCAGCGCCGTACTGCATGGTGTGGCCTGGGAGGCAGGTGGCCACGATAACGGCAGCGGGGGCGGCGTGGTGTTGACAGCCTCCCGCTGCAGGCCTGGAGCAGGTCCGCGCATGGGGCCGTTGACCTCGGTTATGGCCTGCAGCTGGGCCTTGAGGAGGCCCGTCGGTGCTGGATCTGGGAAAGCGTTGTCTGTTGTAAATTATGAGTGTTCAGTGTTTGTGGTTCTAGATTTATACTTAATATTTAGGTGGTTAGGGAGCAGGAGAAATAACAACGAAGTGTTCTGGCTGAGAGATGACGGCAGAGTGTGTTTTATTCAAGCAGGGACGCCACCAACAGGTGGCGCCACAGTAGTCAACAAGTGCAATGCAGTCTAGTAGGCAGTGCATGTAAAGCGGCAATATTGGAATAATATACAGATGTGTACAGACATGTAAAGATGAAGCATTAATTTACAACATCCTCCCTTAATGCGGAAACTTTGCATCTAAACATTCCAATTTCTCTAAATTGCTCAACCATCTTACTGACTTCTCTCCATTTGGAAACTGGTCAGGGAAAACCTTCATGGAGGTCAAAAACCTGATCCGAGAAGCAACTCATCAAAAATCACTTTCTATAATTATTGACATGCATAAAAATGACATACATAAGTATTTTTAACAAGTATATATACACATAGGAATAATACAACATTCAGGAAAACACTTGATATCTACTTTGGCAGTAGGTTTAAAAGTCCACAATTATTTAAATGTTTAGCCTCCACTAAACCTTTGGTGAACAAATCTGCATGATTTTCTTCTGAAGGAACATAAGTTAAAGCAATGAACTTCTCCTCTAGACAATCTCTAAACAGTTGAATTTTACAACCATAATGCTTAGACCTGGCTTTAAAATAATTTTCAGAATTAGCAAGTTTAATAGTAGATTGATTGTCACAATACATTTGTACCTCCTGTACATCCTTGGCAAACAGACTGTCGACTAGATTATTTAAATAGAGTGACTCTTTTACTGCTTCGGCTAATGCAATTCATTCTGACTCTGTGGTTGACTGTGCAGCAGTTCGCTGCTTTTTGCTCTCCCAAGCTATTAAATTACCATCAAGAGTGAAACAATAACCAGTATAGGATTTGTAGTCAGTTGGGTTGCCAGCCAAATCAGCATCAGAGTAACCAACAAGAGATAAGGAAGGGTGAGCATTTTTAGTGAAATTTAGGCCAAAGTGACGAGTAGACTTTAGATAGCTCAGAACATTCTTAGCCATTTCCCAGTGAGTACTGGTATAACAGGAATTGAATTGACTAAGGAAGCTAGTGGCATAAGCAATATCTGGCCTGGTATTTGTGCTGAGGTACAATAGGCTGCCAATAAGTTGCTGGTACTCAAAATTGCCATGGTACCCTTGTTCAAAATCAACAAGTTTAAGTTTTGGCTCCATAGGGACCAACTTTTTCTTATTCTTGCACTGCGTCATGCCAAATCTTTCAACTACTGAGTCTACATACTCCTCCTGGTGCAATTTTAATGTACCTTTCTTCCAATCCCGTTCTATTTTCATACCTAAACAACATTTGGCATCACCTAGGTCCTTGATTTTAACTACAGCACTGAGAGCATTTAACAAGCTAGATTTTTCTGAGTCATCATTGTAAAA